CTAACTATGTATTAGATATAAATTTCAATATTATGCATGCTAGTTTAGGGTTGTAGCTTTGGATGATTATTATTGCATGTACAATTAGAGAAAACCTAGATCCAAAGCTTTAGGGTTGCATGTGCACCATAGGATTGATGTAATGCTCAAAACCCATCATAAATAAGCTCTTAGAAATAAACCAAAAGATTGCATTAAGCTTTATGTGAATGTTCCTAACAAAATCTGATACTCCTCACAAGCTCAGGAGCATAAGAATATCTTAATAAGATTTACATTAATCCCATTCATTGGAAATCAATTTAATGCTTGTTACTAAGTCTAGTTCACAAAACAATTACGGTTTTTGCAAGGTAGACAACTTGAATGATCGAACCCTAATTTAAATGGCCAATAAGAATTAAAATTAAAATCAAACTCGTTGTTGAAACAAAATCGAATTCATTAGATAGAAATTGAACATAAACATCAATTCATATGATTAAACCACAAACGACAAGTCAAGACATACAATTGGAAAACCTAGGGTTCTAGCCACACATAACTAGAACAAAATCAACAAGTCTATAAATGAAATTAAAGTACGAAAGTGGCTTACAAAGATGAAATAAATTGTTTCCAAATGATCTCCTTAAAGTTAATAGCTAAACCCTTCTTCAAAAAAATCGCCCCTTGGTCGCCTGGAATGAGAGATAATGCATGGACTCTGGAATGGCTAAAAGTCTTGAAATAGGTCATAAAAAACTGCCAAAAGGCAGTTACGCATCTGAAATGACCCCGTATAAAATATGGATAATTTGACATGACCCTGTATGGATTGAAAGTGCGTTGCCTACCATTGACCTGTTTTCCAAAGTACATTGCTGAAATTTGCCCAATTCTTCATTTGACATGCCCCCATGTCGAGTTGCACATAAACGACACGACCCGTGTGAAGCTTTATGCCTAATTTGACATGCCCAATGTCAAATATTATGTGATGAAATCTTGAATTCTTCGTTTGAGCTCCAAAAATTCTGCAACTTTGCTTCTGGCCCCTTTTCACCATTCTGAACCACCTCTAACCTCCGGAACCACCTGAAACGGCATAAAATGTGGAAATAAAGTATGCTAAAATTTGTCCCAAAAGAAGTAAAAAGCATGGTTTATTATTGAAATGCAATGCAAAAGAGTGAACTAAACATGCTGAAAAGGAGCATAAAATACACCCAACAAAACTCCCCAAGCTCAAACCTTTTTTTTCTCTCAAGAAAGACAAGACGAGACTAAAACAGAGAGATAAAAATAAGGAAATAAAATTAACAATAGAACTTTAAATATTTACATGAAAAACAAAGGTGATCCATACCCATAACCTCAACCATATCAAACAATTAGGAATGTGCCAAACACCACTTGCTTTGAACCACCTTAATCTTATCATATAATTAGACATTGTAAGGTTAAGAATTTATTACTCCTTAACACAACCCAACAAAATCAAAAGTCAACAACAACCTTTTTCAAGGTCACCGATATTTAGTTAGCAAATGGAACAAGATACGGTCTTTTTCCATGTAAAAGATATACGATAAAAACATGTTCAATGAATTTGTTTTTCAAATTGAAACAATGACAGAACACAAATATTTTGTTGATTGCAACAACCTTTTTCTAAAAGTTATTTTCTAAGAATTTCATAGAACTTACCCAGATTGGTTACTTGTTTCGCACCACCCAAACTACTCCGAGTTGTCAACAATCACTCCCGATGTCTTTAGTTCATGTCCAAGTCCAAGGGAATCTTTTGACAACCAAACAATTTTCGTAATTATTGAACTTTTTCAACATATGGTGATGTGGATTATTCACTTACTCTTTTTATTTTACTTTTATTATTGTTGTTGTTGTTGTTGTTGTTGTTGTTGGCTCATGAATTTCTATGAAATCCATGTAGCGGACTTCTGACCAACACATCCAGACCATACGACCTTAGTGTGCTAGATTTAGAGAAATACCTCGGGTCTACTTGTCCGAATTTCACAGGCCACATAGTAGCTTTATTTAAGTATATACATATATTGTTTTAATTTTGTGTGTCTTTCAGGTTCAAGTAGATGTGTAGAAAGAAGTGGAGTTAGTAGTGGTCGGCTTGGATTCTTACACTAGATTCTTGTAAGATCCTCTTGATAACTACTTGTACTGATTTATAATACGAATGTGTTGTGATATGTCTCCGGCTCGACTCCTTCTCCTTGAGGGATGGAAATGAGGGGTCTGAGAATGACAACAAATAAAATAAGACAGTCAGTCGTCGTCCGGGATGTCGTCCCGGAACAAGGCTCTAACGATCAAGTTAATTCATGATTCTGGTGAGGGGGGTAAAAAAGTATGAGAAAAATGGTTAATGTAGAGGATGTCCGTCCCTTCTCTTGAAGGAGAAAGGGCCTTTATATACCTGGAATCTGGGTGACAAAACCCCGACCATATCTTCTACTTTTACAGGCCTTGCAGAGACAGACAACTTCCGATTGGTAGATCGTGCCCCGTGAGTGGTTGTTTACTATTGGTGCAGGCTTGCCAGGGGATCAACGTCCTAAGTGTTACACATGTCATTCTGGAGGACGACTGGTACTATTTTTTCTTGACGTTGGCCTTGGAACTTGGGCACCAAGGAATGAATACGGGGTTGCGAAGAGTGAGGGTGAGGACGCGACGTTAGGCATACACTGTCTTTTGCCCAGACTGTCTATCAAACTGACGGTTCTGTTATACCTGATGGGATACGTCAACAAGTCCCCTAGGCTAGTAGACGTCAGCATTTGCTTAGGGTAGCTGAGTTGTTCTAGCTTGGATCTGGACACATGTTCGATGGGGAGGGCTTTTTGATGACTAGTGACGTGACAGAGGCGTTTTCGCAGGCGGTTTTCATCATTGTAACCGGTTGGACTTCCCGCCTGTATTTAAAACTTCCCCCATTTGAGTCGGACACCCTTTTTATGGTTCTTCTCACTTCTGTTGCTTCTTTTTCTTTTCTGTTTCTACTCTTCGACTGATAATGGCTGACTTGAATACTAGAATCGTTCCTTCTTCGAGCGAGTTCTCCGCTCTTCAGGAGCGGTTTGGTTTCCATCCCGAACATGGCGTGGAGTATCCTCGAAAGAGGGTGATAATTTCTCCCCCGCCAGAAGGGAAAGTCGGGGTCCATATTCCGATCTTCGAGGCTGGTATGAGACTGCGGACAACGGACTTTTTTGAAGAGATAATGTGCAAGTATGGCTTTCATGTGGACGACCTGACTCCCAATGCTGTCAACAAGATTGTTGGCTTTGAAATCATCTTTCGGACCCTTGGAGTTCTGTCGAAATTTTGGGCATTCAAAGTTTTCTTCAATTCTTCCACTTAGTCCGGTGTTCGTACTTTTTCCCAAAGGGCGGGGTGGTCATGCCTTCATTATCAACCAAAAAGCTCCAAAAAAAACTGGCAAGATCGGTGGTTCTGGGTAAATCGCAACCTTGTGGGTTTTTGGCTATCCTCGCTTGACAACTTTTTCCGATCGAGCGCCAAAATTGTTTGGTGACAATGCTACTGTGGTGCAAGCACTGAAGACCATTTGTGTCAATGGAGAGGACTGGGAGGATCATATGTTGGTTGCAGTTAGGATGAGTGCTGCCTGGAGGGCTCGGGGGATGATACATCAGTTCTACGTTGAGAAAGACGGTAAGTATCTCTTCTTCCTCCCCCATTAGATCGTTGTTTTCTTGTTTTTGTTTGTGTGTTTTGTGAACTATGTTGCCTTGTTTCTTGTTTGCAGGTCACAAGAGGATCCTTCCCTTTGATATGGTGCTGAGGGGTCATTTTCAGGGCACCTGCCAGTATCGGGACGTTCCCTTGGTTGAGATGATCCCTCCACCGGTCAGTCCTGACCGTGCCTTGGCCCTTGTCGGTCCTCTTGTTGTGTCTCTGCCTGGGTCTGATCCTCCTGTTGGTCAGGTATTGATTGATGCGCCTGTCAGTGGTGTTTCCCGTGAGGAACCTTTGCCTTCTGATACGGAGGAAGAGGAGATGTCGATCGGGCTGACTCGGCGTAACACCCGTGCAACTTCCAAACGACGGCTCTCCTGGCTAGATTCGCCGCTTGTAGAGTCTACTGAGGCCAACTCCTCAGGTCGGCGCCTGCTAAAGAGGCGGAACATGGAATTCCTTCTGGGGGAGGACACGATGGTGGTTGACATCCCCGATGATGACACTCCGAAACAGTAGTAGGGGATGAGAGAAGGGGCGACTGAACTGCCTCATGAACCTAAAGAGGAGCCTCTGGAAATTGCGGCCTCAGATGCTGCTTGCGAAGGTGTTTTAAACTCATCAGTCCTGCTTCTGACTGGGAAGGGTGTTGTCGAGGGTTCTGCTTCTGCTCCTCCGGTAGCGCCGGCCATATACGTGCCAGGGTGGGGGATAACCCGGGAATCTTGTCTTTCCCAGCACTCGACGACGTATGATTGGGGCTCTCATGCTTTTCCCCCTGCTACCATTGAGGCTTTAGAGCTCCTCTCTAACTCGTACTTTTCAAACAACCTTTTATATGCAACTGTACAGGTTGGTTCGTACATGGTGGAGACCGCCTCTCGCCTTCGTCAGGGCGATTCTAGTTTGAGCGAGCTTACTTCGATTAAAGCCGAGGAGATGAACTGAAGGCAAGGTTGCTGGAGTTAGAAGTAGAGAAACGGTCGTTCGAGGAGCGTTATGATCTGTTGGCAGGGGAGAATGTATCTTTGGAGGACCAAGTGGCTACCTTGGATAGGTCGGTGGAACGCTTTTCTCAGCGGATCGAGGTTTTAGTGGAGGAGAAATGGATACTGGAGAGCCAGGCGGATTATACTAACAAGAGGTTGGAGGAGGAGATCGCAAGGAGGAAGGTTGCAGAGGAAGATTTGGGGTGGTTGCTTCAGAAAGGCGTTGTTCGGGTGGTTGATAAGGTTGTTGAGAGTGTTGAGGTTGCGTTGGGGGTTAAGCAGATGAAAATGTCATGTGTCGCTTCCGGTGTGGAGAATGGCAAACAGGTGATCCGGGAGCAAGTTGTCGCCGAAAAGTTTGTCTTCAGGGAAAAGGACGCTACTTTGGAGCATGCGCAGGCGATGCATGCTGCTATAAAATCTTTCATGGAGACGGAATTTGCCTCGTACCTTTGCCTGGGTGAGCTGGACATAGGTGGCCTTCGTCAGATTTGCGATGATCCTGAATCTGAGGAAGGCCATCTTGAAGGTGACCCTTCTCATGCTGGACCTTCCTCCACCCCTCCGTAAGGGCTAGCTTTTACTGTTTGATGTTTAAGATGATGTTTTCATCTTCATGGTGTTTGTCGACCAATTTCTGAAACAATGTCTAATTTTCTTCTTTGGCCCTGCGTGGTCGTTTTCAAATCCCGGGGGGTTGTCCGGGTCAAACAATTATGTTTTATTTATTTCTTGTGCTCTAATTTTGCTTTTAGTTTATCATTTTTCTCTCCCCTTTTTTATCGTATTGGATGGTTTGTGTTGGCCAACCTTGGTTTGGATTCTCCCAGAGGTTCGTGTTGGCCTTTGAGGGTCTTGTTCGTGTTTATCATTTGTTTAACCAGCTTTGGGGGGCTAAAGCGTCTATTCTGACGGGCTCGGCACTCACCCTTAGGTTAGTCTCTGTGAGTCGAGGTTTTAGTTAGCATGTAGGTGCGAACTCTGGCCTGTTCATTCCGTTAGGATGTCTTTCTTGGCTGAAAGCCTTCGCTTTTGGGCTTTGCTCTAAGCCCTGGGTCAAGGGGAGTTGTACTCCGGCCCTAGCCATCTAAGCAAGATCGAGGTCGTCACCTTGGGGTCTAAAAGCTTAGGCATTATGAATTTCGAGGGAAAGGTTATGATCCTTTAAGGCCTCTTACTTGTCGTGATCAGGTAATGCATCTCTCCTAACCTCATCGACATGTTTATTAGGGAGAAGTGATGAGCCTTTGATGTCTATGATTGTGTTTTGTCTCATTGCTTTTGTGTTGGGTAGCATGGGTGATCAGTCCGTTATTATTTTCCATTTGTACGAAAGTATTTTGATACTCGTTCGCTACAAATTTTCTTTTCATTGCATGTTTTTTGGTGCCTTGGAGGCATCTACATTGTCAGATAAGTATCGGAAGTCCGATAGTTTTTGCTATTCTAGGTTTAGCTCTTGGGCTGACTAGTTGGGGCGTGATTATCCGTTAGGAGTTTGATCACTTGGCCCCTTCCCTTGATTCCCCTCGAGCCAAGGCTATTGGCTTGGGCTCTGGGGCTCCCAGGTTATTGGGACGAGTTCTTCTTCTTGGTCTTTCTTGGCTTGTGTCCCTCGCGGCTCGAGTTTACGAGCTTTCCAGCATTCGTGCTCGTATGTGAGCCGTGATTGGCTGTTTTTGGGTTGGTCGTCTTTCAGAAGATGATTTTCACATTTCCTCCATTCTCCGATTTTGGTCGCTTAGTCATCATCTTTGGGTGGTTTTTCCTCATTCTGCAAGTCTTTTTCATTGCCAGCTCTGTTTTCTGTGAGGTTATTGACTTGGTATCGTCTTGGGGGAAGCCTCTTCCAGCTGCGGACTCTTATGGTTGTAGTGAGTCTCCTTTCTACGTTCTTGTTTTTAAGGTGATTGCATATCCTCTCTACTCCGGTACTGGCGGCTCCTTGTTTGTGCCTCCCGTTGAGCTCCATGACTTCGCGCGTGTGTTCCTTCGGTCCCATTCTTTTCCATGCCATGTGCCCTTGCTGCCCTAAGGTGTGTAGGTACGCTTATTGACGTCCAACCTCGTTTGGTATTCATGAGGACGATCCTTGATGCTTCTGGAGTGGTAATATTGTTGCTATCGCGCCCTTCCCCCGGGTTGTTCGTTAGGGGTTGGCGTCCTTTTCGCTTGTCTTGAGTGTGGATGTTTGTTTTTTTGCACTTGATCGTGTGGGTGTTAGTTATCGTCGTGCACTGCTTTCTTGGGATGTGTGCAGTAGCCTAAGCGGCGATCGCCCAAAGTGGTTTTGCCTGTGTGTTCAGGGATGTTACTATCGCTGATCCGTTCTTTGTTCTGAACTTTACTGTACCATGTATCGTTGACGGGATGGCTTGTAGTCGGAAGAGGGCAGGTCTCCCTAAGATCATATCGTCTTCTAACTTATGTTTAACTACCGAGAACTCGATTACTTTTTGTTACCCTTTCCTTCCCATCGTGGCTAAGTAGTGTCAACGGGAGGTTTATGGTCCCGAGTGGCCATAATTTGTGTCCCGTGAAGCCAACGATTGGGGCTTGGGTTGGTGGTCTTAGGCTTCTCTTCAAGTATGACAGGAGTCGATCGAGGCAGTGCTCGTAAAGAATGTCAGTGCTGCTACCTCCGTCGATTAGGACTCGCCATATTTGATGTTGTTGTACGAGGACGGGGATTATGATTAGATATGTGGGGTCCCAGTTGGGCGCTCGTGGGTCTTCCGATGAGAAACTTATGTTGAGAGTATCGTCGGGTAAGCCGTCTACGCCATTGGCTGGTAGTCGACGCTCGACACTGTTCTCGGGGCTTGCGATTGCAAAGATTTCTTCCTTTTTGATTGGTTTGTTCTCATCTCCTTCCAGGTTCTCCCGTCTTTCCGTTCGGCTTCGAACGTTGATCGTAAAGTCTGCGCGATTTTTGTTAAGTCTTCACTCAGTCGTTTTTCTTCTACTTCTTTTATGTGGATCACGCGCTCTCCAGTGTCATGGGTTTTGCTCTTGTGGTATTCGCAATATTTGCTTTTCTCTTTATCTGTCTGCTGAGGGGGTTTTTTCCAGCGTGTGCACTTCCATCTTATGGCTCCTGGGCTCATCCTTGACGAACGGGTGGAATCTGCGAGACGAGTGCCTCGAATGTCTGTTATGCTTATAAAGGCTTCCATCGTTACGCTCCTTATGGCTATGGCGATAGTGGGAGCTGGCTGATTCTTGTTTGAGGTAGGCATTCACTACCGCTTTTAGATTAGCTTGTGTTCGTTCTTCTCTTTCGATATGCCTGGGTATTTTTCGACCCTGTATTTGAGCTTTTCCCTGGATTTTGGCACTGTTCCCTGCATTTTCTTTGACAGGGGGCCTGGGAGTAGCCTTTGGGCGAAGGCGCCCGTGACTAGAAATTCCTCGTGGCCGGGGACGCTCAGGGTTGCGAGGGTAAACTGATCATAGTATGCTCGGATGGATTCTCCCTTATTTTGCTTGCATGCCATGATAGAGTTGGCATCTCCTTTTACTTTCCTCAATTGCATGAAGTTTTGGAGGAAAAGGTACCTAAACTGTTCAAAGCTGTAGATAATTCCCGGACGTAGTGCCTTGAACCATTTGCTAGCATTTCCCAATAGTGTGGCCGGGAAGTAGGTGCAAGTGAATCTCTTGTCCATCCGAAGGGATGTCATTGTCCAGTCATAGGTGTCTATGCGTTCGTCAGTATCTGTCGTGCCGTCATACTTTGGGATGGTTGGTATCATGGTGGAATGCGGTATTTCGTACTATAATAGCTCTTGGCAGAACGCCAAGCTGATACTTGATATGGGGCTATTCATGTGTGGGTATTTGAGTGCTCCGCTGGCCATCTCCTGTTGTGCGTGGTATGGGTTGTTGTACCCTTGGCCATACTCGTAATGGTACCCGTGGTTGTACATAGTCACTTGAGGCATATACGATGCCTGCGTGGAGTATGTGTGCATTAACTGACTCGACTGTGAACTTAACTCCGTTAGCCCCATAGTGTGTGCGTTCATCCCCAGTGTTTGCGTGCTTTGAGTGTTGTGGGTTTGTGTCTGTGTTTGAGGGTACACGCCTTGGTAGTGGTATGAATATGGGTTGAACATTGGTTGTTGGGCGAATAATGGGATATGCGACATGGAGGCCATCGGGGAAGACTGGTGGCCTGCAAGTGGCGCGGCTGATAGAATGGTGTCGGGGGACCAAGCGATAGTCCCTACCTGTCGTGCTGATGGCTGTGGTCGATTTGCTATTTGTTGTGATTGGGTGGTCGGCACTCTTTGAGGCGCAGTGGTGGTAGTCGGGGCTAGATGTTCTGTTGGGTTTTGTATACTACAACATCCTATGGTGCACATACTACCCTAAATGCCTTGGATCTATGTTTTCTCTAATTATACATGTAATGGTATTTCCAAAGCATTAAGCCTATAACTAGCATGAAATTAACATAAACAATATGAAATACTAGTTAGGATGACATACATTTTATGTAGCTACAAACCTTGTTGTATTTGGCCTTAGGAGCTTAGCACCAAAAGTATGAATGCCTCAAATGGCTCACAACTCACCTAGGACAAAGGTTGCTCTTGAGAGAGAATCTCCATGCACCAAAAACCTCCATGAACTCCAAGGATTACAAAAAGTGGGCATTTCTAGGCTATGGAGTATGTATTTATATGTAGGATTTCAAGGGTCATGGGTATAACCCAAATCCATACCCATGGGTTCTATGATCCATGGTTCATGTGGCCCAACTCTTTATGTGTCCATACATAAACTTGGTCCAACATGGATCATAAGCCCAACACATATAAATATAACTAATTACCATAATTAGTCCCCATAGATTTAACTAGTCTCTTTTGATCACTAAATTAATTCCAAATTAATTCTTGATCAATACTAATTAAAACATATGATTTCATATTAATATATTAGAACTTATAATATATTAATAAATAATATATAACCTTTTCTCAAGAGTCCATCCTAACAAATTGTCCTGGTGTTATGCAACCCAAATGAACCATGCTACTCTCGGGTCAAGTACATACCAATAATAGTTATGGGCTTAGACATCTAATCCAAAAGTCTCCCGTTTGGATAAGTCTAAAACTATTACTGCAAATACGACTCCAAAATCCCGACTAGAAATCGTAGCCCTTAAAAGCCGCTGTCGAACTCTGACATAGTCAATGACGTGTCCATTAGATAAGGGATCATATATTCCTCCATTCTAGACATCATATGGACTGAGACATGGATTAAAATCATTCTCTCTGTCCATCTGTTGTTTCCCGATTTCTGATTTATGACGATTGACTAATTGAACAAATCAAATCAGTCCAGGCCCGGCCCGACCGAGCACTTAGGGTTGTCATCACTAAATCATCGAGGGGCCCACATATATCGCTTTTATCCACATGGGGTAAAAGGAACGGATAAACTTCGACCCAAATGCTCGCTTGTACTCACTCATCAAATTACACACAACGATATGTTTTATAACATCCAAGTTACTGGTGCGTTTACATATGTCAATGTGCAACCGACTCGCA